GTCAACACGAGTAAAATCTTCTAGGCCAAAGCTGAAAAGCACGGTGCACAGCGCTCATCGACCCCATACATCAACGTCAATATAATGGAATTGTTGTTAACACGTTTACATGATGTCGTCGGATTGTTTTTATCCGTTAAACCACTAAACGATTTTAGCATTTTCAACATGTTTTGTTTAAATACTCAGGATAAAGCGTATACTATATATTACTAAGTTCTGGAAATAATAAAATCATAGCTGTAATTATATACCAAGTAACTGACATGAAAGTTAAACACCGATGTACATTGTTGTGGTGAGCTTTTTTGGCAGTTAAGTGTACAGATAGAGTAGTTTTGTCAGAAATAGGACGATACATATGTATGCTTCCACGACATCAATATAGTTGACAATCTTTGGTTATGGAAAAGATCATTTTACTGCCTAGGATTGTGTCGACATTCATAGAAATCATATGAAATTTCAAAAATTAGAGACTTTTACTGGACTCGGGATGGTGACGCTAACGGCACTCTGCCGGAGACATGCAGTCAACACTGTAAGTCTCGAGAGGTACATTCCAGCTCGTTCGTGTTGGGGACGTATCTATTGGCCAAATCCAAATGCTCTTTGTTGGCCATCATCTGCGGCTGCTACTGATTTCTAACGCAATCAAAACACAGCGATTTCCGTTGGCCTTTATTGAAAATATAAAATAACATCAATGATAATTAGTTATATTTATGTTTTTTAATCTATTATCCATTTCTCTATGAATGCTTATAATAGTGTACATGTATGTGGCAATCTAACATGCTTAAATAACGGCTGTCAATGAGACGCTGATGTAAACCATGAATCAAACAATATACAGAAAGAATACAATGATCGGACTTTTGAACACTTTTGATTATTGAATAAAAATTATATATTAATGTCTCCTTTTGTATTATCTCAGTTACTTTACATGAATATCATGCATGACTTTGGCAACATCAGGTAAACTGTTTACTTGCCGCGTTGTCTTGTATTGAGCATTTCGAAAGAACGTAACAAAATCAGACCAATTTGATCCTCGGCTTGCCAAGAACAAATCTGCCCCTACAAAATATGAATAAAATAAGGTCACATTAATCTATTGATGTTAGTAGGTTTCATATTTATATATGTTGTATGTCAAGAATATGCATTGTTGAGAATTCGTTACGTTATTTCTACCACCCAAAACTACAATTATACGTTATTGAAATGAGATAATATCCTGAAATTCTCTTCCCGTGATAGTTCAATGACAAACTTATTCGAGTACATTCATTTAAAATAGGAATAATATCATATTGTCATGGGTAATCGTGATATACTGTAATATGTAATGATGTGATCAGAAAACGCCATCGTCAGAAACCTTAATTTATGAAGTGTTGATGTGAGGAAAACGTACGATACTCTATATAGTATAATTAAAGTATAACGATCAATACGCAACATGAACAAACAAATATTGCGATTTCAGGAACATATATGAATTGTAAATAATAATATTTTACGATTAAGTTAGCAGAATATTCACAGTCAAATGTTGAAGTTAGCAGAATATTCATATTCAAATGTTGAAGTTAGCAGAATATTCAAATGTTGAAGTTAGCAGAATATATAAAACGCCATCATAGGGAAAATGATGAATACGCAACATTAAAAAAACTATTGCGATTTCTGGAACATATATGAATTGTAAATAATAATATTTTACGATTATATTTGTGATGTATAGATTCAATTAAACATACAATCAGGTTTCGTGAACAAGATTTGATTGCACTATTTAAATTGTATTACTTTATTGTAAAAGTGCCTTCCCGAACTTACCAAATCTGAATTTCGTTATGATGTTACGAATTAAATGTATTAAATATCCGTGTTTAACAACCTTTAAAAATATAGTAATTAACTAATTCCTGATCTAAT